AGGGTAAAGGTCCTGCCTTGAATTGAAATTTTTCTCGGAGGACCTCGAATTTAGGCCGGCGGGAGTGAAACGGTATTCACCAATTCGTGGTAGCTGAGGTAGATCCCAGGGGTCGATCCCTAGTTTCCCAACTTACCTGTGTACAATACCAGCGTCAACTCGAAGAGTTGAACCTGCGACCTGTAGAACCGCCAGTGGTAGGTAGGTCTGTCTTTGGTCTATAGGTAGCCAGGATTCGATCCGTAGACCTATAGACTAGAAGGCTAGCTGCAGTCCTTCTAGAAGGTTGGCAAGTGGTCAAGTGGTGCAGGCAAGTGGTCAAGTGGTGCAGGCAAGTGGTCAAGTGGTGCAGGCAAGTGGTCAAGTGGTGTGACTAAATTAAGCCCATGTTGGAGAGAGTCTAGAAGGTACCAGTCCGGTCCAGCAAGTACCACGGGGTAAACTGTGTGCACCATGGGCCAGGGACACAAGGCAGACCAATGCAGCACAGAAGTATAAATCAAGAGGCTGCGTCCATTCATTCATTCATTCCTGCGGATGCCATGCGGAAGCGCTGCCTAGCAGCTTGTGCGAGGAGGTCTGCAGAGTGCCCGAAGACGAAGTGGGCAGAGGAGTAGAGTGCAGCGATAKGTAGTGGCAGCTAGCGCTGCCATAGCTGTAGCCTAGCATGTGTGTGTGTGAAGTGTGATACTGAGTGTTGCGTGTGGGACATCCAGGGTGATCCAGAGTGCGAACAGTGAGTTGTCTGGGCGCTCAGTCGCCATAGCCAGTTTGAAGAGAACTCTTATGTGGATACGATATCTTGAGTACTGAGTGGGGATTTGGGCGCTCAGTCGCCATAGCCAGTTTGAAGAGAACTCTTATGTGGATACGATATCTTGAGTACTGAGTGGGCGCCTGTCGCCAATTTGCTGTTTCGCTGTTTGCATACATGACAAGTTGAATAATCGAGTTTGATTTCAGAGACGTGAAGATGGGCAGTTTCAATCCAAGCAGGCTCTGTGCTTGTATGGTGCTGGAATTGCTTTGGAATTGCAGGTGAACAGACCTTCAGTCTTGGTGTGGGTGTTAGTATGACTACAAGCTCTGTGCTTGTCGGGGCTGTCATGGTTAAAACGTAAATGGAGGTGCCCACCTCTCACTTTTCTGTCTGGGAAGCCAAGGAGGGAGATGCATTAGCTGTGAACATGCTGTAAGCATATTATCGGATGGTTCACACACCCCGCGGGTGTCAACTTGTGTGTGCAGGATGAGTTTATGAGCTTCATTGTTACGCTCATGGGGAGTCCTCTTCACATAAAGAACCCATACTTGAGGGCCAAGTTTGTGGCTGTACTGAACGCATGGATGCCTGCCCACTGGTAAGCTATCTTTGTTTGCTCTCTCTCGTGTTATCCATTGCACCGACTTTAGACTGTCAGAAGAGCGACTATGTTTGAATACAGTCCTGGTTGGTCGACCGCCTTGTTCTCTTTTGGATTGATTGGGATGGTGTGTGCATTGCCTGCAATGAAATTTTCGGAGCCAGCAAAGGGCATACTCGCACTTGGACTCTGTGGATGGGATGGGATCTGGCTGTAATTGAATCAAGGATAAGTCTAGGAAAATCCTTGTGCCTGTGGATGGGATCTGGCTGTAATTGAATCGAGGATAAGTCTAGGAAAGTCCTCGTCATGACTGCACGTGTCAGGGAGTTAACTCTCAACCCAGTGGGAAATTGACCACAGTCCTGGTTGGTCGACCGCCTTGTTCTCTTTTGGATTGATTGGGATGGTGTGTGCATTGCCTGCATTGAAATTTTCGGAGCCAGCAATGGCATACTCGCACTTGGACTCTGTGGATGGGATGGGATCTGGCTGTAATTGATTCAAGGATAAGTCTAGGAAAATCCTTGTGCCTGTGGATGGGATCTGGCTGTAATTGAATCGAGGATAAGTCTAGGAAAGTCCTCGTCATGACTGCACGTGTCAGGGAGTTAACTCTCAACCCAGTGGGAAATTGACCACAGGTATACTCCACATGAAGTCTGTACGCCGGAGCAACAGGGTGTTGACCGTGGTTATCCTCTGGGTGGGGTCTGCACAGGAGGTTTTGGAAGGAAATCTTAGAAAAGATGGTTCTAAGATGGCTGCGTGAAGCCTTTATATTACTGTTTCAAACTGTATTTGCGCACCCCGCCTGAACTTGATTCCTGGCTAAGGTGTAGTGCCTAGGAGTTGAGGAACTATGCCATCAGATTTTGTATTGTCTGTTGGCACTCCATGTTCCTTTACCCCGAGCTCCTAGAGGGGCTATGGGACAGAGCAACAGTTGTGGTTGATGGGTTACAGTTTGGCACTGATATTTTATTTTTGTTGATGTGATCATCAGCAGGAGTGTCTCTTGTTGTCATGATTGGTGTCAAGTTGGACATCGCCTTGTATATTTTCAGATTTGGTTTTGCAGTCATCAGATCGGTGTAAATATCGTAGGAATACCTTTCTAACTGATGGAGATTGTCGAGCCTCATGCCAATTTTGACCCACATCCAGATCCTTGAGACTAATCCAATGGAGGTTCTTGTTTGTGGCTAATGCCAACTTGATCATTTGCTCTTGATGGCTTGAATGGACTGTGATGCGTACACCCAGCATGACCCGGGGCATTGCCGATTCTATGGCGACCTTGTTTGAAGGGCACCAACTGGCATTGGAATGTATGGTGCCTAATTTGCTGAAGCTGTATGTGGATATAGAGTTCACAGGCAGCCACACACAGGTATGTATCAATGCTGCCACCCAAATTCGTCGATGTTGAGTGTGCTCACCTCGATTGTCATCTTGCTTATTGACATTTGTATTGTGTAGTTCTTTCTCTCTGCTAACTTTCGATGTGAAGGCCTGACCCTTCTGACCTTGGACCTTCCTGATGTTCCTGATGGGTAGAATGCCATCCATTCCATCGGATTTTTATTTTTCTTTCTTAACAAGGTTGTGCAGGCCGAGGTAAAGGCAGGCCCTACCCTGATGGCCAGTGCAATAATCACACTCTCACAACACACCCAGGGCAGAGGGGGGAATCGGTTGCAATTGGATGACAGGGTCCTCGTGCAGAGCATCTGATGCCTGGGTTCTGACGGTTGGGAGTTGGTCGGCATGTGTTCAGTGGGGGCATGCCGGTGGAAAGTGGAAAGGGAAGGTGGGGGCATGAGGTCATTTGCCCATTTTCTTTTGGTTCTGCGTTCTTTCTTTTCTTCCCCTCCTTCCCTAGCCTACGTCCCTTCCTTTCTCGACTCCCCTTTCTCCCTCCCCTCCCTCCCTCCCTCCTCGTGCTTCCATCCTTTGTTTCCTTTTCCTCACACCTCTCTTCCTCCCCCCTTCGGACTTGACGACCTACCTTGGGCAATCCTGAGTGTACTATTGTGATATGGCATTCTGGCATTCCGTTGGTTCTTAGTTGTGTTCCTTTTGTTGCTGACTGGTTGGGATTCTTGCCGGTCTTCTGTGCAGTTTTTTGACAAGTTCGAAATCCGACATAACATCGCCGAGCTGCTGGAATATCTTTGGGAAGTACCCAGTCACAACATGTCATGGAAGAAGGTGAGCCGTGCACCAGTGTCAGTGAACTACCCCGGATGACAGGTTGCTGTGCAACAAACTCAGCTCAAATCCGCACAGACAAAAGCAAGGGTGGTAACTTTTGGTCAAAGCCCAGTTTCAGGGGTTAAAAGTCGCGTCCACAGTCTCAGGAAGGTCTGAGAAAAGTCCTGGGGCTAAATGGTACGAGGCCCTGAGTGTTGCTGCGTCCAGCACCATGCCAGACAGTTGACTCTTGGAAAATCAAGAGTCAGATCCAGCACGGGAAAAACAGACCCAAAGTCAAAGTCTGCCAGTAGTCAACCACGGCCGTAGATTAGATGCACGTGAAAGGTTGTCGGCAGGTTTCCAGAAGACTGACACGACACATCTGGTCAGCAGTGCATCCAGGCCATCGACTTCAGGAACTGGGCAGTCGATGCGGTCAAGTGGGAGGCTTGTCAACGCCAGTCGACACCAGTCAATGGCAGTCCACGCTATAAGAAGAAGGCCAGGCCTTGGGGAGGCTCATTCTGCCTTGCATTTGCTTGCGGCCGAGTTGCTTCTCGCGAGGCTGGTGGTGAGGGAAGCTCGTGCCAGATACTGGATGTGGGCGCCAGCTAGGAAGAAGGTGCTGCTGGAGCAGCCATAGCTGCCGTAGCTGTAGGACTCAGTAGGAGAGAGAGTGGGCGAGGATGTGGAGGATCAGGTCTGTGAGAGTGAGGGGAGGAACGTGAGGGGGAAGCTTACCTGAACTTACCTAGCGCTGATGTGATTGAAGCGGCTAAGCGTCTCCAGGAGGTTGAGGAAGGACAGTGCCAACCTCCATAGCCGAGCTATGGTAGGAGGTTGGCGCCTTGCTGGAAACCTCACAGAGACTTCGTCAGTGATTGTCAGAGAGTACATGCATTGATAAGGTGGCGAGGGAGGTGATACAAGCCCAGTTGGGCAATGTGCACGGAGCCAAGGATCCGCAGACTGATGAAAAGGACTAGAATGGACAATGTAATGTCAGCAAATCACCAACAAGCAATGTACATCCCGATACATACAAAATAGCACAATGTAGCGCAGTGGAAGACTCAAAGATATGACATGTCCTGTCTGGTACTGACGCGACATCCCATCATACAGCACACATGTGAGAGAGGGAGGAGGGACCGCATACACAGAAGAGAGGTCCCTCCTTGCATACGCACATGGGGGAGATACCACGGATGAGAGATGGGGGGAGAGGCGAGATGAAGATGGAGGCGAGGGAGAAGACCAAAAGCGCGATAGCGAAGTCCGAAAATAGTCTCTTGCTGACTGTCCAATCAATGTTTGCCACAAAAATGTCAGATCAGATGGAGGCGAGGGAGAAGACCAAGATTGCGATAGCGAAGTCCAAAAACAGTCTCTCTCTCTCTCTCTCTCTCTCTCTCTCTCTCTCTCTCTCTCTCTCTCTCTCTCTCTCTCTCTCNCTCTCTCTCTCTCTCTCTCTCTCTCTCTCTCTCTCTCTCTCTCTCTCTCTCTCACACACACACACACACACACACACACACACACACACACATTCTCTCTCTCTCTCTCTCTGAGCAGGAAGAAGAAGAAGAAGGAGGAGGAGGAGGAGGAAGGAGGGAGGCACGATTGAGTGAGACGATGAAAATGTAGAAGATGTTGTCCTCCTCGCTGTCTCACCTGCAGGTAACTGCTGCCATGTACTGACAGCCGCTGTGGTCCCTGTCCAGGTCGCCGGCGTGGACCGCGGCTATGGCACCTGGTAAGTATCGCTGCTGCAGGTATGGCCTCCGCTCCTCTGCCGACCTACGCCTCTAGCTCTACCTCCTAGTGCAGCACGGCAGTGGCGCAGTGCTGGTCCAGCAGCGTGTCGCCCAAGAAGTAAGCTGCTCTAACTGTGTGTCTGCTCAGCCAAGGCCCAGCTATATGTAGTGCCGGGCCGGCTGGGTGCGCCTCTGCAATGGCCCGAAAATGGCCCGCACAGTCGGGGCCCCTACCGGGCGTCCAGGCCATGCTGCTGATGCAGCAGGGCGCCAAAACGCGCCTGGACCCATCGGACCTGCGTCCTGGTGTACCCAGCCCAAGGCGTAGCCTTGGTGACTGCAAGTCCGAAAAGACGTTTGAACAGACAAAAATAGGACAGCAACAAATAAATAAATAAATGAAAGCTGTCGCAAATCCGTACCTGCAGCGTAAGGGTCGCCGTGGACCTCCAGGGCGCGTGTCTGATGGGCACGTGGCCTAGGGGCCCCCCAGCAACCGTCGGGCCCCTGAAATGGGGCCCGTGTGCAGGCGCAGCATGTTACAGAGGAAAGACACTCGAAGGAGAAGTGGGAGTTGGAGAACCGACGGACTTGTATTATTGAGGGGGAAGCTTATGTTACATGCTGAGCCTGCACACAGGGCCCATTTTAGGGGGCCGGCGGTTGCTAGGGGCCCCCAGGCCGCACGCCCTTCGGACATGCGCCCTGGAGGCCCATGGACGGCCTTAGGTCCACAGGATTCGATTTGAGGCAGCATTCATTTATTTATTTACTTATTTGCTGTCCTATTTTTGTCTGTTCCAGGCGTCGTTTCGGACTTGCAGTGCGTCCGAACGGACACACGGACCAAGGCCATGTTTTGGGCCTTCTCCATTCGTGGCCAGGTCCTTTTGGGCCAGGTTCGTTTTCGTCCGGTTGCGGACGCTTCCCGCTGCATCAGCAGGGAGGGCCTGGACGTCCGGTAGGGACCCAAGCAGGCCCTTTCAGGCCAAGGACCAGAGGCACACCAGCGAGGCCCAGCGCTACATATAGCTGGGCCAGGCCAGGGCAGACACAGTTCAAGTAGCTCACTTCGGGCGACACTCTACTGGAGCACTCTACTGAGCGAGAGAGGCGGAGGCCATACCTGCAGCGGTGTTACTTACCTGGGGGCCATGGCTGGACTCTACGCCAGCGACCTGCACAGACCTGCCGGTGGCAGTCAGTACATGGCGGCAGTTACCTGCAGGTGAGACAGCAAGGAGGACATCTATCAGGTTAGGGAAGCTGCGGCAGTTTCTGTTCGCAAATGCAAAGTCCATCTAGTAGCGTACTCCTAAAAACACGGGGCCCGGGACAGGGTTGGAGGCCGACGGAAAAAAAAAGGAAAAAAAAACGGAGTTTCAAATGCAGGGACGTCGGGGAAGGCCCTCACGAGGGTGGAAGCTGCAGCAGTGCTTTGAGGAATGTATCTGGCCACTATGTGTGGAAAGAGTTAGCTTTTTTTTTCGTTTAGTTTTTGTTCCCGTGTCGTTGTAGTGCCCTGCCAGCCAGGCAGGGCGTGTTTAACGGGTGGCACGTAACTGTCTTGACACTGTAGCATCCTGTACCCGGCCTCAATCACAGCATAAGGGAGCCTTTTTTTTTTCTTTTTTTTCTTTTATCGGTTGTTCGTCCGTAAATGCCCTCACTGAGGGCACAGTCACTTGAACACCGCATAGAATGTATCTGGTGGTTATTGAGGCATTGGGGAGGTTTGCTTTTTTTGTTTTTCTTCCTTCTTTTCTTTCTTTGTTCCTTCTCCTACAAACCTGACCCGGCTCGGCAAAACTCAGTGCGCAGTGAAAATCAGGCTCGGTTAAAACAGGCTTGGAGGTGGTGGTGGTTTAGGTAAGATATTCTTAGTATGAAAAGTTTCAAATTCAGGGTCTTCTGCTGCACGAATATCTTGAGAAACAAAATCATAAGCTCTTAAGTTAAGAGCAAGCGTGCTTCCCCAAGTGCAGAAGGCCGAAAGGCTGCAGGGTATTCTTCCCCGAAAACGACCGCTCTTCGAGCTGCCTTATCTCGCACAAGTGTCAGGGGGCTTGCATCCCAGCTCCAGGCACAAAGTGTAGCAAGGCATGCTGGACACGAAGTGCAGACGCTTCGCGTCTGCTCTTCTAGCCTCTATGAATGTGCTTTTATGGCATGCTTTGTTTCCTCTGCCTACTCACACAGCGATGGCATCCCACAGCGGTGACCTTACCTCCTCCACAACCGCCTTTTCTAGCTCCCTTGTTCTATGTACTGGTTCGTGTTGGGATGGCGGAAGGAAAAAAGGCAGTGGACGGTTGGCCCTTTTGAGGCTCAATCACAGCAAGATATCCTTTCCTTTTATGTATCTGACAATTTGGTTTTGTATGACTCTTACATGTCCAAGGCCACGAAGTGGCAGCGGCGCCACACGGTGGAACGGAGGGAATGAGATTTGCACCCATGATACAATCTTGTTGTACGTTGATTAAACAAACCAATGCCTTCAGCCACTCAGCCATACCTCCCGGTAAAAAACGGGATTTGAACCCGCGACTTCTGGCGTGACAGACTAACTTTGACCCAAATCCGGTGCGCAGCGCATCATGGACATACCCCCACGGCCAATGCTAGTTAAGGGATAGGATGTTGTGTGTGCAAATGAAGAATGATGCTGAAACAGACTACAGCTGGGGTATACCCCCAGCGGACTGCGCACTCCCCTGCCCTTGATCGCCTTCATCCGCCGCCCCTCGTCAAAACTTCGACCCAAATATGGCGCGCAGCGCGTTTGATTTCCCCCCCGCGTCCAATGCTGCTTAAGGGATAGGATGTTGTGTGTGATGACTGCGGCCCGCTCGTCTCAATTTTGTATGCATATTTGTGTGTGAGGGAGGGAGGAAAGCAAGGCAGGCAGGCAGACAGAAATGACAAATGTGTCGGTGCCGACAATCACCAGGGAAGTCATGTGTTGACATTGTAATAGCTGTTGAATGTCAGATAACATGCATGGCAACACTTTCAAATCTTCCATTCTGAAAACTGCACTCTGAATAGCTGTTGAATGTCAGATAACATGCATGACATCACTGTCAAATATTCCCTTCTTAATACTGCACTGTGAATAGCTGTTGAATGTTAGATAACATGCATGGCAGCGTGGCAGTGATCCAAATTGTGTTTTCCGTAAAAGACAAAGCATATATAAAGTATTTACAGCAGCGGCCAGTTTACGTCTGGGGAATGCTGTTGTCATGCGAAAGAAGTGAAACATTGAAAGCTGTGTCATGATGAGAGCACGAGCCTGCTGTTTGGGTGAATGCATTTGCCATTTCATTTTGGTCGGTAATTTTAGGGCTGCTATTCTGCTCATGTGTGCAGGTTGCTAAAACTGAAGAGAGAGGATTCTACCTGCGCTTTCTGAACATGCTAGTCAATGATGCAATCTATCTCCTAGATGAGAGTCTGAACAAACTCCCTGAGCTGCGGGACTTGGAGGAACAGATGAAGGACAAGAAAGCATGGGAATCTATACCAGAGGATGAACGCAGGGAGAAGGAGCGTTACTTCCGCCAGATGGAGAGTGTGAGTTACTCTCTTTTACCTTCCTTGGCGAGATAACTCTTTCCTCTGAGAGTGTATGCGAGATCTAGATCCTGCACAAGGGTGGACATAGCTGTCCCGACCTGTACCCAGCCGTTCTGTACCTGACAGGTCTGGGTGGGGTTCGGATTAGGATAAATCAGAGTGGGCTGGGTGTCGCCGGGAAAAGAAGGATGAAAGTGTGAGTTACTCTCTTTTACCTTCCTAGCGGATATAACTCTTTCCTTTGAGAGTATGTGAGATCTAGATCCTGGACATGGGTGGTCATAGCTGTACGGACCTGTACCCAGCCGTACTGTATCTGACAGGTGTGGGTGGGGATCGGCTTGCGGTAAATGAGAGTGGGCTGTGCGAGGCCAGTGCCTCTATGAGCCCCATAAGGCCCCATTTTGCAGCCCGCCGGCCGCCCTACGTGAAGGCAGGCTCAACGAGGCCCTTAGGGCCCTATTCTGGCCACCACGCAACTCAGGGAAATTCAGGCAGTTGCGCAGCGCCAGTTGGTTGAGTGAGCCCAGGCCCTGGGCCGCCTGTGGGAATGTATGTGAAGCAGGCCCTGGGCTGGATACGGGCACTGGGCCAAACACAGGCCAAAGGCAGTTGGGCACATGCAACCACCTCAGGCCCAAGGCCTGTTCTCGTAGTGCTGGGGCTCAGGCTACCGGGGCCTACTGGAAGCTTCCTGGGACTGGACGCAGGCAGGCCAGTTCGATATAGCAAAGGGCCTGCCTCCGCATTCGTCATTCGGGTGCTGGCTGCATGCTGCGCAAGCGCTGCTGCGCTATTTGCTGGCTGGCGCCTACGCTCTCACGGGCGAGCAGGGAAGGAGCACTCTGTTATACACATCTAGATGTGTATAAGAGACAGCTAGTGGCATCTGTGCGTTGGGGAACGAGGTTGTGAGTGGGGCGAGAGACATACCTGGTGCTGGAAGTGTGCGACATTGGTCACCATATGCTCGTACTTCGGGAAAGCTGTTGACGTCATCTTTCGGCATCGTAGTATAGGCTAGATAGGACCTGCCACATGTAGTCTGGGCGCCGAGCTCCAGATAGGATATCAACTCTGGTTCTTCGTTGATGATGATGGGACTATTTCATCATTGTCAATTATGAACTCTGGGTGTGTTCCAGATAGGATATCAACTCTGGTTCTTCGTTGATGATGATGGGACTATTTCAGCATTGTCAATTATGAACTCTTGGTGTGTTCTTATTTGGTGAATCTCGTGATGCAATTCTGCTGTTGGTTCGAGGTCACGACTATCTGGACTCATATGTATGATGCTGTTTGATTGCTGAAGTTCGCTATTGCTCATCTGCCTTGCAGCTGGGTGTCGCCGGGGAAAAAGGATGAAAGTGGACGGTTGGATAGGTGGGTATGGGCAGATATGGGTGGGTATGTGCTGCTATGGGTGTGCACACTTGGGTATGTGCTGATAGGAGGGACAGGCAGGAAGGGAATGAACTTTGATGACCTTGGAAAGGTCCATTGTCGATATTATTGAATTCCTTTTTCTGAAAGAAAACATGGGACCATTTCTTCATTTGTGAGTGTCATCCTTTTGCATGGGCCTATCTCAGTTGGTACACCCACGAACTGTTGGAATACAGTGAGTGTCATCCTTTTGCATGGGCCTATCTCAGTTGGTACACCCACGAACTGTTGGAATACAGACCCGAGTTCGATTCCAGATACAATCAGATGATCAGAACAAGAATCCAGATACGATCGATGACCAAAACAAAATCATGCTGAAGTACCTAACCAGTCAGTTCAGTGATGAAATCTCAAGGCGATCATCCCTTTCCAGAACAGAAGGAAAAAAAGTGTGTTATCTTTGAACAGGGGAAGTGCTAATTTTCTCTGTATAGTTCCAGTTTTAACAGATGTCCCAAATGACATATTATTGTGTTACTGATCCAGGTTCACATGGACTTTTCAAATGGTTTGGGTCTGCTTTATCACCCACCCATGCCCCAGGTATTGTGGCTCATGGCTATTTAACTGGCCAAGGCTTTGATAGAAGTATACTAAAAGAAGAGAGAACTAAACTGCAAGGATTATGAGCGTGAGGGATAGACAGAAAACCAAGTTGCAAAATCACGAAGTGGCTCAGATAGTCGTGTACAAGAGCAATGCACCAAGATACCATGCAAATAAGAGCAACACAATGAACTCGTGTCAATGTCGCCACACTGGTCAAACCAACACGTCCAGCCCTACTGTCTGGCGCTCGGCGCCCAGCCTAGTCAACTCAGCCTATCTAGCCTATCTACGTTCTCACAACCAGACCACATTGCAGTTGAAGACCAATGTACGTAGACGTCATCGTCAATGCCGACCGCCAGCATACACCAGGTATGTGCTCCCTCCTTCCCTCATCTCACCTCGACTCCCCCTCTGTATGAGAGAAGGTTAACGGAGACCCTAATTTTCGGACCACTTGTCATGCCATTTATAAGGAAACCAAGGGGTCATTTTAATCAAACTTGCCACCAATTCATAGAGTGGAGACCATGCTAACTAACAACAATATAATTAACAACATATAAAACAGCAAGGCAAAAGTCCATTTTCATGAAATTTCGCCAAAAAGTGTGTTATCCTTGAACAGGGGCAGTGCTAATTTTCTCTGTATAGTTCCAATTTTAACACATGTCCCAAATGACATATTACTGTGTTACTGATCCAGGTTCACGTGGACTTTTCAAATGGTTTGGGTCTGCTTTACCACCCACCCATGCCCCAGGTATTGTGGCTCATGGCTATTTAACTGGCCAAGGCTTTGATAGAAGTATACTAAAAGAAGAGAGAGAACTAAACTGCAAGGGTTATGAGCGTGAGGGATAGACAGAAAACCAAGTTGCAAAATCACGAAGTTGCTCAGATAGTCGTGTACAAGAGCAATGCACCAGATACCATGCAAATAAGAGCAACACAATGAACTCTTGTGTCAATGTCGCCACACTCTGGTCAAACCAACACAGTTTCCCCTGTCCAGCCTTACTGTCTGGCGCTGGGCGCTCGGCGCCCAGCCTAGTCAACTCAGCCTATCTAGCCTATCTACGTTCTCACAACCAGATTAAAAGTCCATTTTCATGAAATTTCGCCAACATATGAATTTCAAAAATCTTGAGAAACTTCAGAAATCTTAAACCACCAGTACTTGGCCCAGCTATCAAGTCCGAGCCTCCAGCGACCGGTATGGCGAGCCTCCCAAGCCTGGCAGTACCAGTAGCTGGACGGGCCGAGGCTGGGGGGACCAGTTGGAAAACAAAAACAGCAAAAAAAACTAACAAACAACAATGCTGTGGATGTGAATGCAGTTGGATGCATTCTCCTGAGTGCTAATGTGAGCACGTCGCAGTTTGGGTGTATCAGCCCTGTGGCATTTCTGTCAGAATCCAAAAGTAAAATAAGGAAAAAAAAACAAAGAAATGAATCTCAAAGAAGGAAAAAAAAACGAAACATGAATTTGGCTCTGAAATTTGTTAGATACATTTGTCTGTGTGCAAGTGTGAGTATGCCCTCAACGAGGCCAAACACGGCCTGCGCCAGGATGTGTGACCACGCACTGCCCCCTGGAAAGTCAAGGGTCCAAGTCAACTGTCAGGTCAAAGGTACCGCGCGCAGGCCCTTGTTCGGATACACTCACTTGTTGTGCGCAGGTACCCAGACAGCATCAAGGCCGCAGGGAATTCTGTTTCAGGCCAATCTGGGCCGTCATTTGCATTGAGATCTTGACAGCTGAGGGATGCAGCACCTGGGGTCCAGACCCCGCGTCAACGCTACATAAGCGTTGACCTCTTGGCTTTGGGAGTCAATGCTGACTTCACGCGTTGACGACAACGCTAGCGCGACGCTGCGACGCTGGCTGGACGCTGGCTCTACGCTGGCAATGGGGCTCGGCATGGTGGCTGGCTTGCAATTGTCTTCTGGGCATGCTGACGTGGCAGCTGCCACGCGCCACCGCTGACGTGGCCGCTGCCATCTATGTTATTATTGTTGACGTGGCGAGGCTACATGACTGGCATTGCTGTTCTGTTTCGACGACATTCGGGAGGAGATCATGATTGTGGGGCGATAGTGGATACGTACGTGGTTATCTTGATGTCGACATTGCTCCAGCCCGCTGATGAGGACTGATTGACGTGCCACGTGGCACATTGTGATAGAACTTCAGATGCATGTTCAGATTATTGATTATTGAGGTGGTGATCGAGGAGGGAGCCCGAGGTAGAAGTGGGCATTGTCTGTATTTCTCTCTTCCAAGTCTAGTCTCCCTCCTCTCTCCTTCATCTGTGTATGTACCTTGCATCTCATTCTATCTGGACACGATCATGATTATTGACAATCATCAGCAGGTTGATATTTATTTGGACTAGCATAGTTGACAAGTGTCTTCACGATCTGGGTTCATTGCAATATGCCCTGCCTCGCTGGCAGGGGAATCTAAGAAAAATGAAAGAAAAAACAAAAGCAGAAAAAACAGACTTCCAGAATCTACCTGAAATACTAGTTAGAAGCATTCCACCAAGAACAGACGTGACCACGACCCCCGCCCAACTTAGAAAGTAGTTCTTTTTTTTTTTTTTGGGTTCTTTCTTTTATACGTCGCAATTCTCAGCGACCGGCCGTTCATGAAACGGTTTTCAGCCTTCTGCAGTCACGTATGCGGGCCTAGAGTTCGATCCCCAGACCTCACTTGGCGGATGTACAGTATCGAGTCGACCCCTAAGCGTTTGAACCCGTGATCTGTGTTTTGGTAGCTGTTTGTTGTCTGTCGTAGGCCTGTGTTAGCGATAGGAGTCACAGCTCTGTAGAGGTCGTGGCTGTAGATGCTCTGAAAGGTCAAGGTCGTAGCTGCTACAGTCCTGAAAGGTCAAGGTTGTAGCTGCTACAGTTCCCGAAAGGCCAAATACACAGACTTCCGGAAGGTCCGGAAGTGGCCTTTCGAAGTGTCTCCCGTTTAGTCAGAGGCA